ATAACCATAAAATATGGCTTTACTCTAATTTCATTATATTCATCTGCTATATTTCCCTTCCCACCCACTGAATGTGACTTCCCATTATATAATAGTTATCTATCCCCCTGCCTGCTCATGACCTGTGGGAAACAAGATGTGATACCTGTGTTTGTAGAATTGCATGTTTGTATTAACAATTTCTCTACTTCCAAGCTTTTCCTGAAGAAGGCATTACCCTCCACTGATATCTGACTATATAGAGGACTTCCGTCAATGTTGTGTGCGCGCCATGCTTTGACAGTTTTTGTACATGAATGAATTTTTAGTGTTCCTGGTTAAAGACATCTTGATCATGTGTTATGGTCTTATTAATTTGGTGTTGATTTGATGTGCACTGTCTATGATTCTCACTGATGATTTTCCAACCTGTTAGTCAAAGGATATTGTCTGATAATTAGATCTTTTAAAATGTCTTCTATGGTTTGAAAATTAGGGTAAAATTTTTTTTAGGAAATGAACTTGAACTTGTTCCTTTTCTTGGTTTCAGAAGTACTAAAAGACTTATGGAACATTGCCACTAGCTGTTGCTTTCCAGATTGTTTGTGAATCCTGGGATTTAGGTTTGCTATTTCATATTTATATTCATGTTTTTCATTTTTATTTATTCTTCTCTCATAAGTACATCCTGGCTGCATCTTCCCTTTCTCCAATGCTCCAAGTTGCCCCCATCTCCTGTCTCCCTCAGGTCCACTGTTCTTTAGAAAAAAGGAGGTTCCCTAGAGATAGCAACTGAACACAGCAAAAAAGAGAAAAAGCCCTTAAAACCCCCCCTTGTTTTTTCTTTTTTTCCCTTTTTTTTTTCCCCCTTTTAATAAAAAAAAACCCCCTCACTCATTTTTACACACACTCCCCCTTTTTCATTTCTTTTCGCTTATAAACACTTTTATACTTGTTTAATGAAATAAATTTATAGTACATATAATATTAATATGTATGGTATATTCTATGTGTTATACTTATGATAAGTATGTGTATTGTAATAAAATGTGTAACAATATTAGTTATTAGAATTTATTATAGTATACTATATACTCATAATAATCACAATTATTTAATAAGTTTAACATGTTACCTATATATATATATATTTTATGTATTACAAAGAAGTAATTGCATTATAGGTTTCATACATGCCTATACTGCATATTGATGCTCTTTCACTGTAAAATTGCCATACTCCCCTATTGTTTTGACTGATATTGTGATTCTTTTTTTTTTTTACTAGTCAATTAAGCAAAATTTTATTGAAGCTTACATTGTGGTACAGAAATACATTTCAACTGATTAAAAGTCCAACACCAACAAAGAGAAATAATGGCACCAAAACTTCCCCTCCTGTAATCACACTAGGATCACTATTCAATCTACAGTTTGTTTTCTAGGCTTTTTTCCACACAAACCTATGCAGATTTCATCATTAGTATCTGTAATTCTATCAGATGGGGTAATCAGACCTCAAACCAATAAAATCCAGCTTAAATAAGCACTGGTCCTCCAAATAGCAGTTCAAAACATCAGGTGAAAGCAGCCTCACACAGAGTTGAAGAAGAAATTATAACAAGCAAATTGGACAACAGCAGAGCACAGAAGGAGATTGTGGGAAAGAGTCCACACTCAGCACAGTGACTAGACAACTGTAGTCACAAGGAAAGAGCCTCTGGTTCAGGAGGGATGGCAGCCACAGAGGACAAGATTTCTGCCACTGATGTTCCTATGACCTTGAGAAATTTTTGATTTCCTTTTGCTTTACCTGGAAACCATTGCATTTCATTGTAAGAAAACTAAGAGGATACATATGGGGAGGAAAGCATTTGGCCAGCACACAGTATTTTTCCATCACATAGTAGGTATCCAGTGAAAGTCAATATTTTATGAAAGGTTTTGATCTAAATTTGTGTGTGCATATGTGTATGTATGCATCTGTGTGTGTCTGTATGTGTCCGTGTGTGTGTATTGTAAGACCCTCAGAATGAGGAGTCTCGCAGTTTCGGTCGGTACCCCCAAGAACTCAATGTCCAATCCAGTTGCTGCAACACACAAGAGGCTTTAATGAACAGGAATCGTTTGCACAAACAGGCTCCCTCAACACTCAGGCTAGAGAGGAGCCCCATCCCCCGGGCACAGGTGTTTTTAAAGGCAAAACCCACAAGCTTAGGGAGGGGGTGTGACCCTCTGTCCATTGAGTACCTGCCCCTTTGGTGGTCTCGCTATTAGGGTCAACAGACCTTAGGGCCTCAGGGTGTGCTAATTAATCTTGTCTGGGCAAACTGGAGGTACAGTTATCTCTTTGTTTCTTAAGGACCCTATTTACCACCTGCTGACTCACAAGAAAGGAGGGGCAGTGTAAATTCTTGGTATCTTGTTATCTCAGGGCCTTGTGAGGGGAAGTTAGCAAATTCCAAGGAACAGATATTGGTCTGGGTTGGCTTTCCAGGTCAGTATGTCCTCATTTCAAGTGAGAGGGGGTTCCTTAACTTTACTTTTCGTCTTTCAGTATGTGTGTCTCATTGTGTGTATGTATGTGTCTCCGTGTGTCTCTCTGTGTTTATGTGTGTGTGTGTGTGCATCTGTGTGTGTGTGTCTTTGTATGTGTGTGTCTCATTGTGTGTATGTATGTGTCTCTGTGTGTCTGTGTGTGTGTCTGTGTATGTGTGTGTGCGTGTGTGTATGTGTGTGTCTGTGTTTGTGTCTGTGCGTGTGTGTGAGTGTGTGTATGTGTGTGTGTCTGTGTGTGCAGGTGTGTGTCTGTGTGTGTATATGTGTGTGTATGCTTCTTGTACTGGAGTTCAAAAATCATTCTGTAAGATACAAATCTTTTCCCATTTCTCAAATGCATGTGTAGTTATCACATGTAATATGGAGTTGTGTTGTGATTTTGTAGAAGGGGAGACTAGGGTGAGGAACTGCTTTCAACACACAACTCAGAGAATAAGCAAAGAGGGAAGCCAAGATGGAGATTTCCATTACTAGTGACTCCCCTGTAGAAATTTATATTTTTGCCCTTAAAAAAAACCCAAAACTTGCTTCTCCCCCTTTCATCAACATAGCATTAGGTTGGTAGATAAAATCTCAGCGAGATGCAGGACCACATAAATGTCCGCTAAGCCACATGCCAGCCACAACCAGGATCCCTTGATCAGGCTGAAGAATGTACTGGAAGATTCACAGACCCTTGAACAGTCAGTGTGGGCCTACACACTTATATGGTGGGGGTTGGAACCCCTCAATCCCTCTATCTCAAACATCAGGATCCATGTAGGGCCCACCTCACCTTGAAGTCCTGAAGATCATCTAGGCAACTGCTTGAATGATCTGTGATAACACATGAAAATCACACAGCTATTTGCCACTTCAGAGTTGAGACTCTGTGATTATCTTTGGTCGAGAGGAACATTCAACCAATGGGAGTGTGATCCAATGCAATAAAAGCTATCGCAATTCTGCGTGTGTTGATATTAACCACACCTAATGCAGGGTGTAGGGGTCAGCACCAAGGTGATTGACCTCTATGATCACTCCATCTTAAACAGCACCCTACGGAATGGGCCTGACTCAGACCAACTGGCCACCCAAGAGATCATGAGAGACAGACCTCCAAGAACTGCGAAGCACAGGGAAGGGAACAGCAAGCACACTGATAGCCCATTCTGAACCAGTCTGGTTCCCCAGTAGAAGAGAAATCTTTAAGTGTCAAGGGTTTTGAAGATGTGATTTTCATCCTTGTGTGCCTGAAATGAGTCACAACATTTCAAAGCATGACATTGTTGCCTGCTGGTAATGGGAAGTCAAGAGACCAGTGTCTGCAGGAACCATTAAGCCAACATTTCATAGGTTCATTGTATCAGTGTAGGGATCTAGCTTGGCCTGACTTCAGCCATCTGAATCCAACCATTCATGACTGGTTGTGAGAAACCTCAACATGTTTTCTCTGAATGGTTTCTCTGTCATTTCTATAGCCCGTGGGGCTGTGCAAGGAGACCTGAATGCTGTCAGTGTAGAAATCAAGCCTGACATCCTTGGTGCTAGCTGAGACTAGAGCAGTCACATTCTGAGTGTAATGACTATCACTTTTATCCTGATTACCATGTATAACATCTCCTTCTGAGCACTGTGGCAGCTCACCGGGCTTCCAGCTTCCCTCACCCTGGTGTTGGCCCATAGCTACAATCAAAGAATATGGTCTCTGTTACCCTGACAACCTTTTTTGTTCAGTACCATGCTACCTTCTGTTGCAATTGACTGCCTTATATTCTGTTTTTCCAGACCAGTGAGTTATTATTTATTGAACACAAGTCTATAAACACACGAGGACAAGACCAGCTGATCTGAGATACCATCTTGGTGAGCACATCTCCCCCATTTGAGAATGAGCTGAGGGTCACAGGCTGAGTCTTCTGTCACAAACTTGCACACTTCATCTCCATACCATAAATTGTTTGACCTCTTATGCAAGTCTGCTTTGACTTCTCTACCCAAAAATGCACCACTGACCATTTACAGCACACAGACATCCACTTTAATGTCATTGGTCTTTCAGGTGATCCTGCCCCCTTGAGGGCTGGCTACTTGTCAAAAACTCCATCTACTCTGTTTTCACCATCACCATCTTCAACATCATCTTCATCACAATCATCATCACCACTGTCACTATCCAGAGGTCACTGCCCCAGGACACATGGGTGAGTTGATATTGCTGATGCTGGAAAGAATAGCCTAGAGATCATAGGTACACTTCCCTCCAGGGACAGGATATGGTTGGCTCCTGTGTGTTCTCATATCCAGAATTCCCACTCTGGCCTTCTCCCATTTTCAGCTCCCAAGTTTTCCTGTCTTCTCATTGATTGTTCCTTTCTCTGCCTGGGGGACCAACCTCCAACAGTGCAGGGCTCGAAGGGAATCCATGGAGTTGCCATACTATGACATTTTTATCTGAGGGGGTTACAGAAAAGCACACACTCTTTGATGGTTTCCTTCAGACCTTTTCTTTATTATTCTGTTGTATGCTGATTTTGTATTCTCTATTTTCTTTCCTTATCTCTATTCAGAAATGTCCCTTCTGTCTCTCTTGATGATGTTTTTCTTCTATCTTTATTATTCTTTATCCTCTTATTCATGAAGTTTTTCTCATTCTGTATTCTTTCTTTCTCCTTAGCTTATATACCCAACAGAATCTTCAGGCAATATAGAAATTACAATGTGATTACATCCTTTTTTTGTTTTTAAGAGAATGATTACAATGAACACAAGTAAGAAACAGCATGCTTTCCATATCCCTTATGTGATTAAACATTTTACATAATACAGGCAAAAAGTATAATTATCTCCAAGAACCCACGTACATTCATACCCAAACAACTTGTTGCAGATTTACACAGTGTAAGCAAGCAAGACATTCTTCTACTGACAGGCTTCGTTTTGCAGTTAGAAGGAAAGGACCAATTACTTTATTACTTATCAAAAGGCAATCTTAAGAGAATCACAAATCTAAACTTTTATATTTGACAATATAATCAGGCAGCTCTATGTTAAATCTTTAGGGTGCATACTCACTTATCGACAGCTTTTGTATCAGGAGATTGGGGAAAGAAATGGATATAAGGAATTAGTCATCACCTCCAGTCATCAAGCCTAACAAGAAAGGTATGTCAGCTGATGGCAACTAGCTGCTTTGTTCTTTTCTGCTGACCTTAATGAGCTCTTCATTCAACTATGTGCCTTTTTAAAACTTCAGATGGTCTTCTTGAGTTTTTCACCTCAAAGCTTTTGACAAAAGCATCTGGTCTAAACTTAAGTTATCTTCAAAGCTTTGTTTCAGCTATGATGCAACCAAAACCTCTGAATGCATCTCCTAACATTAAGGTTAAAAGAATTTAAGCTAAATGGGCTACTGGGCCTCAACTGTTTTTCTTAATCATTAACCTAAGCCATATTCTGTATACTGCTCCTCAATAGAAACCCATGTGTTCTAGCTGTGCCATATGCCTCCCCATCCCCAGCTCTTCTCCCCTGAACCCTTAGCTCCTTTGGGGAGGGGTCACTGACACAGGTCTGACTGCAGAGCCTTCTGGATCAGCTCAAACTCCTGCAACTTTTCCTCCAGCAGGTGAGCCAGGCTGCGTAGTGCTTCCCCTGACTCTGTTATAGCCCCTTTGGACAAATCCTTTGAGTCAGTCACAAGGTGATACAGATCCAATGCTAAGAACAAACTGCTAAGGCCTACTGATCTAATCCTGGCTCCTCTGGTCATTGTGAGGTAAGAGTTAGGGAAGGCATTCCCTACTTGCTCAAAAGCTGTCGAGTTTCTGAGATTCCTGGCCTGTGTTCCAGAGCGAAAGCTGTCTCTGGCCACCCTAAAGTGTTGGATCTGCTGCCCTAGGGTTTTCCACGCACTGACTAAATCCACACCTGTGCTAATTAATTTGACTGCGAACTTAGGAACGATCTTCCCCATCTCCTTAACTATGCTCTTGCTGACTCCAACTAGGCGCTTGGCTTCAGCTCCAGTTTTCAGTAGGATTGTATCTTCCACAATGGTGGTGGTGAGACTAGTCACACTTGCTGCTGCTCCTAGCCCCAAGGAAGCTGCTGTGAGCATCAGACTGCTCCCCCCTGTAAATGGTGCCAGAACAAAACCAAGGATGTCCAGGACTCCAGAGACAGTGCCTGTTGAGCTGGACACCACATTGGAGATGGTGCAGTCCTTGTGCACCTTGTCAAGATAGTTAGCCAGGTCTCGGAGCTCCCTGATGTGTCCTTCGAGTTTCCTTTTCAACTGAGGAAATTCTTCCAAAAACCTCTTTTTCTGCAGGGCTTTTTCAAGCCTCTCATTTTTGTCTGTGGGTTCCTGTGCTAAATGTTTCTTCAGAGCATCATGCAGTGCAGCTTCCTCCTCCCTGTGACAGAAGAGGGAAAATGCATGAGGAAAACATCAAACATCACTTTTATACTATAAACACAAAGGGGAATAGTTTCACAGGTATTCATAATTTTGCATTCTACTATGAGCATTTGATATGCCATAGATGCCCACCATCCTTATTCCATAGGGGTCAGTGTGTAAAGGAGAACCAGGACACCATAGTGAGGAATCCCCAGGCACCTGGGGTGGGGCAGACAAAACCATCCAGCATCTCCCACCACTGGAGCCTTAGCACCACACCCACTGGGAGAGTCAAGTGCTGACCTTTTCCTGCCCCCTCCCCACCCTCTTTGCAGACCCTTTACTGGGTCCCATCCTGCACACAGAATCTCCAGACACCTGGGGCAGAACAAACCATCCAGCATCTGCCTCCATTGGAGACAGCACTGCACCCACTGGGAGAGATGAGTGCTGCACTTTCTCCAGCCCCGTATGCCCCTTGCAGGAAGCCTTTGAATAGGGCAAGTAGCCTCATTCTTCCCAGATAATCCCCAGACACATAGGGGAAGACCAAACAATCCAACATCTGCTGCCATCAGAACCTTGGCCCTGCACCCACTGGGAGACGCCCCACTTGTACTGGAAGACGAGATGGGAAGATGACACTATTAGAACACATTTAATGACCCACCTTCACCCAAAGGGAGAGGTGAGTGGGATCCTTCTCCAGCCCACTTTCCCCTCCCCCTCCTTGGAGCCTCCAGACCTAGGGACTGCACTTAGTAGTCCAGTCCCTGCATTTCATACCATCCAGAGTCTGCTGCCACTGCAGTCTTAGACTTGCCTGCACCCACCAGGAGAGAGACCTGGGGGCACACCAAACCATCCAGAAACTGCAGCCATTGGAGTCTTGGGCCCACCTGCACCCACTGGGACAGAGCCATGAACCCACACACAATGGGAGAGGGAGAGACCCCACCTGCACCACTGGAACTAGGAATGGAGACACTAAAGTATAAGAACACATTCAATAACAGAAAGAGCAATAGGTCACCAGAGGCATCACCACCCCTGACTTCAAGCTCTATTATAGAGCTGTAATCCTGAGAACAGCTTGGTATTGGCACAAAACAAAAACAAAAACCTCAAAACACAAAAAACAACAACAAAAACACACACAACAACAACAAAACAGGTAGATCAATGGAGTCATATTGAAAACCTCATAGTAACCCACACAACCTACAAACACCTGATTTTTGACAAAACAGCTAAAATTATACAATGGAAGGAGGAGGAGAACATCTTCAACAAATGATGCTGGCACAACTGGATGCTGGTGTGTGGAAGACTGCAGATAGACCCATGTCTATCGCCATGCACAAAATTTAAGTCCAAATGGACCAAAGACCTCAACATAAATCCAGCCATCTTAGAAGAGAAAGTGAAAGTTACAAATTGTTGCAGGGGATCACTTCCTGAACAAGACACCAGTAGCACCAACACTGAGATCAACATAATAAATGGGACCTCCTGAAACTGTGAGGCTTCTGTAAGGCAAAGAACACAGTCAACAAGACAAAAAGGCAGCCCACAGACTGGGAAAAGATACTCACCAACCCCACATCTGACAGAAGGCTGATCTCCAAAATACACAAAGAACTCAAGAAGCTAGTCACCAAAACACCAAATAATCCAATTAAATTGGGGTATAGAACTACATAGAGAATTCTCAAATGAAGGAATCTAAAATGGCCGAAAGACACTTAAGAAAGTGCTCAACATCCCTAGCCATCAGGGAAATGCAAATCAAAACAACTCTGAGCTACCATCTTACTCCTGTGAGAATGGCTAAAACCAAAAATACCAATGACATTGTATGCTGGTGAGAATGTGGAGAAAGGGGAACACTCCTCCACTGCTGGTGGGAGTGCAAACTTGTGCAGCCACTTTGGAAATCAGTATGGTGGTTCCTCAGGAAAATGGGAATCAGTCTACCACAAGATCCAACAATTCCACTCTTTGGCATATACCAAAAGAGCACATTCATGCAACAAACATTAGCAGCATCATTTGTAACAGCCAGAACTTGGAAGCTACCTAGATGCCCCTCAACTGAAGAACGGATAAAGGAAATGTGGTACATTTACACAATGGAGTACTACTCAGCGGAAAAAACAAAACAATGGATTCTTGAAATTCACAGGCAAATGGATGAAACTAAAAGAAACCATCCCAAGTGAGCTAACCCAGTCACAAAAAGACAAACATGGTATGTACTCACTCAAATATGGATTTTAGACATAGAGCAAGGATCACCAGCCTACAATCCACACTGCCAGAGAAACTAGGAAACACAGAGGACCCTAAGAGGGACATACATGTTCCAGTACTGAAGGGTAAAATGGACAAGATCTCTTGGGCAAACTGGGAGTAGGGGATGGGCATGGAAGTAGGAGTTAAAAGAAAGAGAAGGGGAGAAGAGGAGGTGAGAGGAAAACATGAAGGAGCAGGAAGATTGAGTCAGGGGAAGAATAGAGGAGAACAAGAAAAGAGACACCATAATAGAGGGAGAATATAGAGGTTCAAAGAAATTCTGGCACTAGGGAAATGTCCATAGACCCTCAAGGATGACCCAAACTAACAATCTAAGCAATAGTGGAGAGGCTACTTTAAATGTCCTTCCCCAATAATGACAATGATGACTGTCTTATATGTGTTCCTAGAACCCTCATCTAGTATCTGATGGAAGCAGAAGCAGACACACACAGCTAAACAGTGAGCTGAACTCCTGGAGGAATCCATTTGCAGAGAGGGAGGAGTGATGAGCAAAGGGGTCAAGACCAGGCTGGAGAAACCCACAGAAACTGCAGACCTGAACAAGGGGGAGCTTATGGACCCCAGACTGGGAAACCAGCAAAAGATCGACCCAAAATCCCTGAACATGGGACTCAGTTAGGAGGGCTGGGAAGTCTATGGTACCTCTAACAATGGAACTAGGCTGTTTCCCTAGTGCAGGAACGGACTTCAGGAGCCCATTCCCCATGGCGGGATACTCCCTTATTAGAGACCAGGGGGAAGGCCAAGGCCCTACCCCAAATGACTTGACAGACTTTGATGATCCCTCATGGAAGTCCCTGCCCTTCCTGGGGAGTGGATAGGGGATGGGATGGGGGGAGGCTGTGGGGAGCATGGGAGGATGGGAAGGAGAGAGAACTGGGAGTAATATGTAAAATAAGAAAAAATATTAAATAAAAAGACCATTATGTATAATTACCATATGATAATAAGACATAAAAAAATGCTGAAAAAAATCAATGAAACTAAGAGTTGATTCTTTGAGAAAAATCAACTAGACAATCCTTTATCCAAACTAACCAAAATGCAGAGAGAGAACATGCAAATTAACAAAATCATAAATGAAAAGGGGGACATAACAACAGGCACTGAGGAAATCCAGAGAATCATCAGGTCACCCTTTGAAAACCTGTACTCCACAAAATTGGAAAATTTAAAGGAAATGGACAGTTTTCTGGATAGGTGTCACTTACTAAAATTAAACCAATAACAGATAAGCAATTTAAAAGGACCATAAACCCTAATGAAATAGATGCAGTTATCAAATGTCTCCAAATCCAAAAAAGCCCAGGGCCAGATGGTTTCAGTGCAGAATTCTACCAGAAACAGCTGAACTGAGCAAGTGGGAGCTTACCAACCCCAGTCTGACAGATGCGGAACCAGCATAGGATCGAGCCAGGCCCCCTGAATGTGGATGTGAGTTGGGGGGCTTGGGCAGTCTGTGGGGGCTCTGGCAGTGGAACCAGTATTCTTCCCCACTGCACGAGTGAGGTTTGGGCGCCCATTCCCTATGGAGGGATACTCTCTCAGTCTAGATGCATGGGGAAGCACCTAGGCCCTGCCCCAAATGACTTGACAGACTTTGATGATGCCCAGGGGAGGCCTCACCCTTCCTGAGGAGTGGGTGTGGGTGTAATGAGTTCGTGGGGGGAATAGGAAGGCAGCAGGGAGAGGTAACTGGGATTTGTATGTAAAATAAAACTGTTATTAATTTAAATAAAAATTAATTTTTAAAAAAGACACCATACTGAAAGAAGCTTGATAAAACTCCTCTATCTACTGCACAGTGTCAGCATTAGGGTAGATATGGGCCCCATCTGTAAGATATTTCATTAAATATCTGCAAAAATTTCAAAGTGGGGAATTGCAGGATCTGAGATACATTTGTTCCCAAAAATTTTTTATAAATGCTCAGCCTTTAAAATGTGGGGTGTGGTGGGTACTTTGGTGTCATTTCTGACCTCCAGAGAAGCCAGAGGCTAACACACTGACTTTAGAAAGATTACCATGAGGCTGTGTCCCTGAAATTGATCTGTTCTTGGTGTCCCTTTGAGGGATGTGCTGTCTCCCACTCTCACTGTCGGGTGACCATAAGTCCCCAGCTCTCTGCACGCACTGAATGGCTCCATTTCTGTCCCATAATGCAACAGCTTTGAGCTGTGTCCTTCTGGCTGCTTGACCTTGCTTCAGGATGAATATTCTTTCCCAGAGTGGGCTTCATGGTGTGTGGCAGTCATGTGATTCGTCAATGAAGGACAACACTGTACACCTAGGACAAGAAGCTTTGAGCTTAAAGCTCTCAAATTTCTGCCTGGTGGATGTTTTCATTAGCTTATTTTAACTCTCTGTGCTCCTTTGTCAATTGTAGCTGTGACAACAGTCTTATGTGAGTTCAAAGGGTCATTCTAGAAAAAAAAAAATCTTGTAGTTGGTTTAGAGTAGTCCTTCATTAACATCTTGCATCAAAAGGAAAAAGAAGGCTCACTGGGACTCTTCTGATTTTCACATTACCTTTCAATGAAAACAGAAAAATAAAAGAAAAACAAACCCCTCAGACCCATAAGAGAGAGACCCTCCAGATTATTTTGTCTGCTGTCTGCTCTCAGCAGATGTTCATATTCCTTTCCCTCCCTGGCTGGAGCTCACTGGGTCAGTGGCTGCTCCAGGTGACTGAGCAGGACAGCTGCCATTAACCCTGGTTCTAGGCTGACCCCTACCCTCACTCACTCCTGACCCACTGCCTGGCAGGTCTAGTTCAGAGGCCTACAGACAGAGGTTACCAGGCTAACACCACCACAACTGGTGAAAATGTCACATTTGAGCACAGCAAAGTCATGTGCAAAGATGCAAGTGGACTGGAGTCTACCCATAGCACTCAATAGACCAGACGTCCCATTAATTTGGACAAGGAAATAGTAGAAGTACTTTTTACTCAGGGATGGGGTAAAGGGGTACCCTCAGTCTCCCAAGTTATGCAAACCATCTTCACCCACACTGTCTTTGGACTATGTCTCTAACCACACAGCCTTCCCAATATTCAGGGAGCTCCGTGTAGAACTGTAAGAGTCCAAAATGCCACCTGAGAACTCTGTAGCAAAGCCAGCTTGTGGAGTGCACAACCAAGCCCAGCCCTGCCCACATTTGGAACATGAGGTCGGTGCAGGGGAATAAATACCTTCCAAATATTATTTGTCCTCCACTAGGCCTCTTCTTGTGCCTTCAATACCCACCTCTCCTTCCAGCCCGTCTCTCCTTAGCCCTCTACGTACAACTCCTTGCTAGGGTCTCTCCTGAAACCTGGACTTGACCCTGGTCCTGGACTCTCTGGGCTTCGGGAAGGGTGTTGGCACTTGGTTTTCCATCCCTGACCTGTTGCTCCTCCCAGACTGTCACCATGTCCTTTCAGACTGAATTTCTGTTCCTACTGAACACTGCTGGGGCAGCAGATCTCAGTTAGGACAGTCAGGGCCAATCCAGCTCTGTGCAGCTGTACTGTGAACTCACTGCATTCTCACCCTACAGAAGGACCCTGCTTTTGTTCTAGTTCCTCAGATGGGAGGAAAATGACTAAGACAGAACCTGGGGACAAGGCTGATCATGTCTACACATTTCTCACTTGTCTCAAAGTAAGTTCAGGAGTCTTCAGTCCTTCAGAAAACCTGTGTCGGCTCTCTTTGCACTTTCAAAATTATCTCTAAAAGTAACTTTCAGAAGCACCCACTGTGTAGTGGTCACATGTAGAGAACTCTACACATATGATCTTCTGTTCTCATACTACAGTCATGGTGGTGAAACTCAGGAAGTGCTAACTAACTTCCCAATGCCACACACAACTATTAGATGACAGAAATGGTCCTGGCACCTTGAGCAACAACTTCAGTCAACCTGTGGTGATTTCCACAAGAAATAACATGGTGGAAACACTCCTCTTGGATGGTTGAGAAGGAGCATCCATAACCCCACCCACTGGGACTGCCTAGAGTGGGTATGTCTGCCCGGGAAAACCCTCATCCTCATGGCCTTGCAGGCAATGCTGGGTGCACCATACGCATAACCTTGACAACACTGCTGCTTTCACAAATGCCTCCCAGGCTCCATCTTCAGTTATCAGGCTCTTCAGAACTTCTGTGTCGAGTATGTTTATGAGCAAATCAATGAGTTCATCTGCGGCGCGTGCTGCCACTATACCAAGAGAAAGAATAAGATTAGAAGACAACGTGAAAGAGAAAAATGTCAAGTAGCAGGAGGTGGCCAGATGCCACCTTCTTGAGAATGTGTCCATGGATCCTAATGGAGGCTCCGGGGTTGGAGATTCAATGGTGTCCCCCAAATTCATATGTCAAAGCTCTTAGGAGACATGACCTTTGAGGAAGTAAAGACATGAGGACAAAGTGATGCCATGAATGTACAACACTACCCAGTTGGACTGGGGGTCCTTACGACAGGGAGATACCAGATTTCTGTTGTATCATCTATCCATCATTTCATCATCTATCATATGCACACATGTGTCTCTCTGTGTCCACCTCCCTCTGCATCTGTTTCCTACTCTGACTCTTCTCTTAAATGCATTGGAGACACCATGTGCAGATGTAGAGACCCTGTTCCCTCTGCACACCTTGAAGAGGGTGCTTCCTGAGACTAACTTGCCATATGTTCATCACAAACTTTGGCTGCCATGGTTGAGGGAAATCGTGATCCTTTTGAGGAAGCCCCATGTACCATCTAACACGATCCCGTTACATGTCGAACACTGTGGTACATTGATAGAATGACTTTCCGGGAGCAAGAAAGCTCTGGGCTTTCTCGATTCTCAAGCTGCAGCTTAGCTGGCTGACTATTCCACTGCAGAGTAGGAGCCTCCCATTAATTCCCCAATCTCCTTGACAGTCACGGTCATTCTGTGACCTTGAACTTTCTAGGGTCATTTTCTCTTCAAAGGCAGAATGACAAACATTTGTCATTTCTTACTGTCCCAATTTCTCTTTTCATTGTGGACCTGTCACCACTACTAACCATCCACAGATTCAAATGTTGTGCTGTATTGACCTTTCCCCCACCAAAGAAATTATTCCCTTTCTTTCAATATAGCCTGCTGTAAAATGTCAGGACATGGACAGATTAAAAAGCCAGATTATTTGCCAAAATATCACAAGAATAAACTTGGGCCCAGAAGCCAATAAATTCCTTGCTTCACTCCACAACTTCATAAGTAAGTCACCATCATTCTATCTTGCTCTCAGAACTACTGTCTCCCAGGATCCTGCAATGTTGACCCATTAGGCTTTGCCTACAGTATTCAACTGCATATCTATTACAAAGTTCCAAAATCTCCCTAACTTCTCACATGTATATATACTTCTGTCTATCTATATATATCTCTATCTCTATATATCTCTCTCTCTCTATATATATATATATGGAGTCATATCTATCTGTGGATATACCTATATCTACTCATGTTCTTCACAACAACAGCTTTCTCAATAGTGTCCCTCAGATAAAATCCCATGACAGGAATACATTAATGAAGATTTGTTTTGGCTGCTAGCTCCACAGGGACAGATGCCCATAGTGGAAGAAAGGGGACTGAAGCAGGTGCTGGAAGCTGAAAGAGTACATATCAATTGTACTTAAGAAGCACACAATGTACTGCAAGGGGGGAAGCTATGAATCCTACTGTATTTTGCTTTATTTTGTTTTATTCTATGTTTGAGACATGTAGCCTTTGCTGATCTGGAACTCACTGTGTAGACCAGTCTGACCCCAATTTCACAGAGATCCACCTATCCAGCCTGGCAAAGTGCTGGGATTAAGGCTTGCACACCACACCACGCTCAGCAGGGCCCACACACAGGGATGGACTTCATCCAGTATGCCTCCATACCCAAAGATTTCCATAACCTCCCCAAACTGCAACACCAACTGAAGACCAAGAATTAAAAGGCATGAGCCTCTGGGAACTATCATACAGTCAAGACAGCACACACATACACACACTTGTATACTTAAATTCCTTTTCCAATCCAATCTTTGTGATCTTGAAGCAGCCAGAAAGAGGAAAATGGCTACCTGAACAGGCCATGAAGAAGTTCGGGTTCTGAGCACAAGCCGTGGGATTTCTGACTGGTTTCTATTAAGGCTCTTCAAGTGTCTAGTCTGAAGGGGGAGAAGAAGAACAACTGTGAAAATGCAATGGGGACAGCTGCAGAGATGGTGAAGTTGGAGCAGTCAGACACCCAGTGGTTCCATCAGAGTGGGCATAAAGGATCAAAGGACTGACAGTCAGAGTACTACTTTTCCTGCAGTCACTGCTGTTAGTTACAGATGTCAGCCATCTGGTTGCCCTCTCCCATCATCCTGGCCAACTCAGATCCCTCCTGTCCTGTCAGTGCCCACAGAGGATGTCACCAGCTAGGGACAGAGCCATGACGAAAAGCAATATACAGTCCATACATGGGAAGGGGAGTTCTGTAAGCTCCTTGGGGGGAACATGTGCGAATTAATGTTAACAAGAAATATTTACTGTATGCCTGTGACATACAGGGCTCCTCATACACACCTCATTAGGGTACCTACATCCTCCGTGGCATAAGGACTGCTGTGAGCCCCATTTTGAAGTAGAAAAAAGACCATACGGTTTGCTGACTTCACAGTAATGTTGGACCATGACCCCAAATTGTTCTGATTGGCATCCCACCTTTTAGATAGGAATCTCCACTCTCTAGAACACACAGCAGCATTCCAGCTTCTCTCCACGTGACTGTGAGTGACTTCTCACCCACATCAGGACCTGTGTCCTTGAATGGTTAAGTTCACAGGTGCCACAGTGCTCTCCCAGAGCCCACACCCTCCTTGTTTCTGCAGGGTCCTGCATCCCACCAGGCTGGAGTCCTGTCAGACCCCATTCCTGACCCTGCTTGGCCTATTCAGTTCTCTGCCCTCCTCCTTAAACGTTCAACCTTAGGCAGCTTCTAATCTTTACGTGAAATGAACACTCTCTCAAAAACAATATCTAAACTGCAGAATACTTGCTGTAAGATATTTCTAGAAGCAGTGAATAGACCACAGGCATCTAACATACAAATTTTTCATAACTTGAAGCTCAATGTTGTTTAAATAAAGTGTGAGGACCCACACTCCCATGGGCATTGCATGGGGGTGGGCATTCTCTCTAGACTTACTAATGTGTGATAGCCTTAAATCAACACTAGATTTGATAGCCCATGGGATAACCTCAGGCCTGGAGAGTATGAGGCAGGGTGGTTGACCCGTGGGACCCAGGCTGAGACACATGGTTTCCTGGAGCTTCTTGGTTGGACCCCAGAAAGTGGGTGTATGTTCATGTCTGTCTATTCTTCACATAAGTACACAAGGCAGAGCCTGCCATTTCCCCATCCCACACAGGCTGAACAGATGCCAGGTGAGGCTCAGAGGACACAAGTCTGCCACCTACTACTCAGCCACCTTTCCAGAACCCTGGGCAAGCCCACCGTCTCCCCCAGCCTAGGTTTCCACACAGAGCCTCACTTAGAATAGCAATTCAGAAACAAGTTGGATATGACACCTCACACACTTTGAAAAGTGTTCCTTGTGTCTCAGAAGGCACCCTTTGACTCCATCCTGTTTCAGTAGCAGCACTCCAGAGCCAGCCTTTCTTACCAGGCCCCTAAGATGGGCAGTCTTAGGCCCCTGCCCTCCTCCGCCTCTTTGTTTCTTTGACTCCTTTTTCCTCCATTTCTCAATGAGTGGGCACCCACACCAGACACCTTCCTTTGTGGTTCCCTGTCATGTCCCAAGCATTCTGTCATCTGAGGTGAGCTCTTGAAGATCAGTGATCCCATCGGATGACTTCCTCACTTCTCTTGCACTTAGGAACAGCAGCCACACCCAACCCCACTGGGAGTCCAGCTCTACTGTCCCTGAGTGTAGTGTATCCGCAAATGGGTCCACACCTTCCTCTGGAGCTGTGGTGAGGATGACCAAGTGGGGAAACTGAACACCTTCCCCAACTTACCCAGGAGTCTTGCTGTGTCGGAACTTGAGCAGGACCCAGGTCTCAGGGGCTTGGGTACTTTCACTGGCTGTGTCTGTGTGACAATGTGACAAAGGTCAGAACTCAAAGGGAAAGTAAAAGCTTCCTCCTCTGAGCAGCTCAGATCAAACAAAACCTAGGTCTCAGCTTGCTGGGCACAGCCCTCACCGCACTTTATTTTCCACCCTCTCACAGGACCAAGCTCAGGTTGACTTTCGAGATTCTTCTCTGCATACCCAACGTGTTTGGGGTTTCTCCATGGTCTTTAAGAAAAAGTCTGCCACTGTCACAGGGGTTGTCTAATGCCATTTGCATTTCAGATATTTACATTATGATTCATAATAGCAACAAAATTACAGATATGAAGTTGCAATAAAGTAATTCTATGGTCAAGGTCACCACAGGGTGAGGAACTAACTGATTAAAGGGTGACAGCCCCAACAAGTTTGAGGAGCACTGCAGCAGAGGCTCAGGGACTCACCACACCTCTCCACACCACCTGGGTTTTGACTATCCCTGTCCTTCCCCAAACACACCTGCTGGGTGGAAGTTTCAGTTAAGTTTTTGACTGCCAAATATGGGAGCATTGGAGGGTGAGGAGATGGGACATAGAAACCTGTGGTCGTGCATTATTTATGATTTATTAAAGTTAGCAACAAGCCGTAGAGCCAGGCAATGCTGACACACTTTTAACTCCAGCACCCATACTAGCTAGACATAGAGCCAGGTGGTTGTGGCACACACCTTTAGTCTCAGGACTCAGAAGACAAGCAAATGGATCTCTGGGAGTTCAAGGCCACACTGAGCTCCATGAAGTTGATACAGTCCTGAAGGGAATTAGATCTCACACCTTTAATTCCAGCCCTAAAGAAGTATTAGAAAGACAGGAGCCCAGTGTCTTAGGCTGCATTCAGAGATTTAGTCTCCAGCCATGCTGAAGGGAGGCAGCAGTCTGAGGCTTGGTGGAGAGCTCATGGAGATAGGATCACCCTTTCAGTCTGAGATAGAGGTAAGAGCTAGCAGCTGATTGCTTTGCTTATCTGACCCTAGGCTCGAACCCCAATATCTGTCTCTGGGTCATTTATTATTCATGTTACAGAGATTTGAGGCTTCTGAGGCTGGTTAAGGGTAGGGGTCGAGGAACAGCCTAATGGGAAAGGCCTGAACTTCCACCTGAAGCCATTGTGCTACCGTCTGTGACCCATGTGACCACCAAAGTATATGTGAACCTCCTTGGTCCGGGGCGTTGTCTGAGACCATGTAGATGCCTGAGCGCTGAGCTGAGCTGGCACAACCCCACACTGACCACACAGTGGTGCCAGCAGTGTTGTGAGTGCGGGAGAGATGGCTCTGCCCCTCTCCTGGGCAGTGCAGGAGAGCGAGCACTGATGGCATGGGAGTGGAAGAGCTGGCCCAGATGGTGTGGGCTCAAGAGAGCTGGCCCCTCCCCTGGCCAGCCACAGCACTTCCGAGAGTCAGCCTGGCATTTTGGGAGAGAGCTGGCCCTGGGCCTTGTGTTCAAGAGAGCTGGTGGGCTGACCAACTCAGCTAATACACAGGCCCAGATCCAGGGCTTTGAAATGTCCCCACCAACACCTAACCCTTCCATGACCTGCTGGAGCACATGAAGGGACTAGTCCTGTGGAACCATAGCCTCATCATCTCCATGACTCAGGGCAACAGCAGGTTATCTGCAAGTCTCAGAGAGGGTCCACTATGGATGGGGTAGCAGAAGCCAGAGGCCTCAAAGCAGACCAATGAGTCATTGCAATGAACATTTCCAGGTGAAACTGTTTGGACAAAAGAATATGTACTGCGTGACACACCACAGCTTCCATGGCAAGACTTTCTTTTGTTATTTTTATTTTATATTGTTTACGAGGGGTGGTTATGTGAGTAGAGGGTAGAGATGGAAGGACGAGGGGAGGAGTGGGATTTGGGTTCACGGTGTGTAATTCACGGAACCAAAACATAATTAAGGGGAAAAGGAAGTCAAGAAAAAGACAAACAAAAGTCGGAGGAAATCAATAAATCCCTTAAAGAAAGGCAAGAAAAAACAAACAGGTGAAGCAAATTGTTCAAGACCGAAAAATGGAAATAGAAGGAATAAAGGGAATACAAACTGAGGTAGTTCTGGAAATGGAAATCTAGTAAGCAGACAAGAACTAGTAAAGAGACAAGAGGCAAGCATCGCCAACAGAATACAAGAGATGGGAGGACTCTCGGGAAGTGAAGATACACTAGAGGAAATAGATTCATTGATCAAAGAAAATGTTAAACTAAAAAATTCCTACCGCAAAGCATCCAGGAAACATGGGACACCATAGAAAGACTGAACCCAAGAACAACAAAAATAGAAGAGCTGAAGAAGTCCACCTCAAAGGCTCAGAAAATACTTCCCTTTTATGTGCATTTTTATTTTGTTTTTTTAAAAACAACCTTATTTAAAATTTTACCTACTAATCCCAGTGCCCTTCCCTCCATCCACTCCTCAGAGAGGGTAAGGCCTCCCATGGAGAGTCAACAGAGTCTGTCATATCACATTGAGGCCATGCCAAGCCCCTCCCCCATGTCTATAGGCTGAGCAAGGTATCCCTGTGAAGGGAATGGGCTTCAAAATCCAATCCGGCTCATGCACTAGGGATAAATGCTCTTCCCACTGCCAGTGGCCCCACAAACTGTCCAAGCCACACAGCTGCCACCCACACTCAGAGGACCTAGTTTGGTCCTAGATGGGTCCCCCGGCTGTCAGTTTAGAGTCAGTGAGCTCCCACTAGCTCGGGTCAGCTGTTTCTGTGGTTTTCCATCATGGTCATATTATTGCCCTTTCCTCTCTTCAACTGGACTCTGGGAGCTGGGACCAGTGCTTAGCTGTGGATCTCTGCATCTGCTTCCCTCAGTTACTGGATAAAGTTGTATGATGACAATTAAGGTAGGCTCAGAGTCTCAGCTGGAGCCATCCCTGGGATGTAGATCCCTGGGAATTTCCCTAGTGCCAGCCCATAAGGACTCTCTCTATGCAGATATCTCTCTCCTTGCTCCCCCTCGCTGCACTTTCTCCATCTCAACCATCATGTTTTCCTCTCCCTCCCCTGTCCTCCCTCCCCTCTGCATTCCCAAAGTTTCCATTTGACTCAGGAGATCCTCTCAATTTCCCCTTCCAGGTGGATCCCTGTGTGTCTCTTTTAGGGTTCTTCTTGTTCCCTGGTTTCCCTGGGGGTTGTAAACTGTAGACTGGATTTTCTTTGCTTTATGTCTAATATCCACTTATGAGTGAGTACATACCATGTTTGTCTTTCTGGGTCTGGGCTACCTCACTCAGGATGGTTTCTAGTTCTATCCTTCAACAAAATCATAGAAGAAAAATTTCCAAACCTAAAGAAGGACTCACCTTGAAACAGATTCTGACCCCAAGGTCAGTAACAATGAATGTTTCCCTAAGCAATTACAACTTGAGCCTTCTAAATCCTAATTAGCTAATGCGAACTCCACCAGCTGTGGGGACATTGGAATATTGAAGATCAAGAACTTAATGATGCTTCCCTGACTGTCATTAGTTCCCTGAATATCCATTGTATTTAACAACCATGACTAAGAGATAAAAACCATTAGGGATGTATTAACTTAGTAGACCACTAGCTTCCACTAACCCACAAGCCAAGAACATCCACAGACAGCATCAGAGGCTGGTAACTGTCTCTGACATTTCCATAAATGTCTTGGAAATGTGTTCAGTTATTGCTTTCTTACTTTTGGTATTATAAAAGCTTTGTGAAATGGTTTCTATGTTGGAAGATGGATTTTGGTGTAACCTACCTCTGTATTCCTGGGCCATGGGTCCTTCCTATTTGGGTCTAGATTAAACTGTGCCTTACCGCTTTGGGATGAGTGTTGTATTTTTTTTGTTGATGACAATGTTAATGAGCAGCTGCCTCCCTACCCTAAGGTCATGCTTGGACCTTGATGTCAGTTCATATGCTTCTTTTTCCCTCCATCAATTTAGCTACAGTCCCAGGGGGAGCAGCGAATTCCGTTCACCCTGGCAGTGTATCTCCTCCCTGTGAGGCAGCATGTAGCTCATCATAGATGGTAAGAGAAAGGACTCACAGTGTAAACTCTAAGCTCTTTGCTTAGGTTGATATTAGGTTGACTGCTCCCTTCCCCCAAAGCTCTTAGGAACATATGGATGGCATGATCTGTTAAGGTGGGTTGCCACCAAGGCCATTACCACTTTTTCAACTTAACCCTTTCCAGTCCTGAATTGCCTACAGCTTAAACTGAGTATACAAAAAACAAACAAACAAAAAACAAAAAAACTGCAAAGGAGGTTAATTTCTTTGAGTTCTTCCTCTACAGGCAAAACTCCTCTGATCTGGGTCTGACATCTGAAGGCCGGCTGCTCTGTGTGACAACTGAAGATTAAATGTGCCTATGTCTGACAACTATAGACTGACTGCTTCTGCACCCCATGAACCACACAAGCCTCAAACAACTTCTAGGTAAGTCTCTGCCATTTTAACATGCAAAAAACCATTTAAATTATGCTTCCTACTCGAAGCTATCCTTCTGAGCTCTCTGACAACATTGATGATAACTGGAGCATCAACAACAGCAAGCACCTACCTGCCTGTCAGTCCAGTTTACCTTGCTGGCTGACAGGCTTCACACGAAGAAAGATTGAGAGTTTCTGCAGGTCTAAGAAAGCAATTTAAGGTACATAAATCCAAGAAATAATTCCAGACAAGTCTGACCTTCCTGTCACTTCCTCTGGGGTCTCACACAGACCCTACTCTAACACACAGTTCTTGACCCCACCTAACCCCAGACTCCTCCCTTAACTTCCTCCTTTCAAAGGTTTTCCTTTGCCAGTCCTTTCTCCTCATTCCCTCATGTCCTGCTCCCTTACTAGGAAGGGATGTCCTCTCCAGAGTTGACATACATTTTGTCTTCTCCTTGACAACAGCTTCCCAGGCCCCTCCTGCATCAGCCCTCTTCCTTCCCTCAGCCTCTGTCGTGCATCCCCACTCTCTGAATCCCAAACTTCTCTTGCCCCTTGCCCACTTCTTCAATCAATCCCATTGTATGACTTCCACTGCCTCGTTTGAGGCACACCATACTCAAAGACCCTCCGCTTACATCTCCAAACCCCAATATTCCCTACCGTTAGCCAGCTCTGAGGCCTGAAATCTATCACTCAATTCTTTTTGCCCAAACTCTTTCTCAGTCTCACCTCCTCACCCTACAACACTCCCAGATTAACAGTAAAAAAAAACAAAAACAGAAACAATCCCAACGAACCAGGCAGTGGTGATGACTGCCTTTAACGCTATTCTGGGAAGGCAGAAGCAGGCAGAAGTCCATGAGTTTGAGGCCGAACTGGTCTATAAAAGTAAGTTCCAGGATGTCCAGGGGCTGTTACCCAAAGAAATCCTGTCTCGAGTCCCCAATCTCCCCCAACAAAACAAAACCCCACCAACTCCCTCCCCACCAAAAAACCCAATGGAACTTTCTGCTTGGTCCAGGACCTTTGCTCCATTAATGCTGCTAATTCCCTCTACACCTTATAGTCTCTAATTCCCAGGCTATCCTCTCCATTACCCATGCTGCAATTCACTTTTCAGTCCTAAATCTTAAAGCTGTTTTCTTCTCGGTACTCCTGGATGTCCACTCATATTTTTGCCTTCACATAGATGAATCCTGACGCTCAACAATCATACAACGGACCTGAACTGCCCTTCCTCAAGAGTTCAGAGACAGTTACCACCTTTATTTATTTATTTATTTATTTATTTATTTATTTATTTATTTATTTGGTCAGGCACTGGCTGTGGACTTGGCCTGACTCCCCCCTTCCCTCCTGCTTGCTTCAGGACATAGATGACCTCCTCCTTTGCAGTTCCTTCCCTCGCTGATAGCCAATCTGACACAGCCTCCCTCTTCTGTTTCCTCAGCTCCACAGATAACCAGTTATCACCTTCCAAAGCTCAACTCTCCTCTCCCAAGTCACCTATCTTGGATTCTCTCTCACACCCATCCATAAACACCTCAATGTAACCTACCTTGCTCATTTCTGCTCCTTATCTCTGCCCTTATGTCCAACGGTCTCCACACATGGATCCCTAAATACTCACTCCTGCTACATTCCCCATATCAGGCCCCTTCTGGACCCCCTCATGAGCACTTCCTCCCATTCACTGCTAATTCCTTAAACTTAAATCATTCTCCCTTCTGCCCTAACCCTGTGCCTCCCAAATCTATGCAGACCTTTCCACCCTTACACTTCCAAAACCGGAAACACTGATCTTTGTCCCATCCCTTACTTCTCCATAGCTCTATACGGCGCCATCCACAGCTGGCCTTGTCTACACACTCTTGTCACAGCCCCTCTGCTCAGACTCTAACAAACTCTGGGACCCCCTGTCACCATCTATTCCTACCACTTTCTCCCTCAACTCCGAACTTACAGAAGACTCCAATCCCTTCCTCTGTCTTGGATTCCATCCCTCCAAACTCATCACTCCCAATCCTAACTTGTCTTCCCATCAACCCCTCCATGCTTTCCCCTTTGAGTCAACGTTTTCTGGATGATCTATGCTCCTGTCAAAAACTCTCCAAAATCTCCTACTTCATCTCATACACAAGAGTGTTCTCTAACTACTTTTCCGCCTACACCTTTTACATGGATGGTAGCTCCTTTCTGTCAGATGGCTGCATCAGACTGGCCCATCTGTAAAGATGATAATTGCTCTGACATAACAGCCCAGCATGCTGCCCTTTCATCCCTTCCCCTCATCCCATTCCCTTCCAGGCTACTCGACTACATAACCCAAATAACAATATACCCAACCTCCCTTCAACACAGAGTACTCTCTCAACCCTGCTTTGTGTATTCATCCTCACCTTCCGGTTCCTGTTCCCTCAAGGTCACCTGTTCCTCATCTCATCTCATCTCATCTCATCTTATCTCATCTCATCTCTCTTCTTACACTCCTACTTTTCCTCTGCCCAAATGATTCCAAACATCCCCTGCCCACTTTCTCCCCTATAATAATGAACTATCCAGATGTTCCAGGACATCAAACACTGAACAAATCCCAGGCGGAACCACATCTAGCCTCAGGTTTCCAGTGGGCAGAATGACAGCAAACATTCCAGGAAACCATGTTCAGGATCACAGGAGCAACTGGTAGCAGTCAAGTTTTAATGCCAAAAGAGAGAAGGGATGAAATTTCCAGTCAGGCTGTGGTGGTCAAACAAACCAGTAATACCAGAGAGCATGAAAGCCTGAAAGCATGCTGCAGGTGTGGGGACATGGGAGACACTTGATTTCTAGGAGCTAGTTCTGGCTACATAATGCAGGTGTGTGTGTGTGTGTGTGTGTGTGTGTGTGTGTGTGTGTGTGTGTTCCAACTGGATACACAAGAGCCCTGCCCTTTCCACTCATCTTCTAACAGGAGAGCAGAGGGCAGGTGAAGCCCAGAAGGTAGATAGCTGTCAGCCTCCTGTTTAGCCCCTGTCCCAGAAGCCTGGTCAAGTCACTCTCTTCTGAAGCCTCAGTTTCCTCACGACGCAGAGTGTGGGTGCAGAGACAGGTTAGATCAAAAACCTCTGGGTCCTAACATCTCAAAAAAGAGCCCTTGACCCCAATCTGTTTTAGTCACATCTCTCAGAGCCACCTTTGGGTGTCCAGGCCCCAAGAACAGAGAGTCTTGGACCCCTGTCCACCATCTCATTGTTTCCTCCATTTCCCAATGGAGGACACTGACAGCAGACATCTCTCTGACTTCTCCTGATCAAGTCTCAGGCATCCTGGCAGACGTCCTGAGCCCCATAGGTTGTATGGTCTCATTTGAGAAGTCCCTTGCCCTGTCCTGTGCTTGGGGTAGATGGAAAGGTGGGAGCAGCTTGGCCCCAAACTGCTGCAAGGCCAGCTTCTTTGTTGCTGTGTCTGTGACCCCCCCCCCAAGGCAGATGCCTGATCTTGCTGAACTTATTAACAAAATGGGTCCATAATCCTCGTCCAGAGTGGCTGTGGGGGTATGCAGGTGTGAGAGCTTAGATATTCCCCAACTTACCAGTAACCTCCAACAGGCTGAGTGCAGACGGGACTGGATAGTCTTCAGCTGTGTGGACACCTGTGGCCAGCTGTGCATCCAAGTGATAACTGAATGGTCTCCTGCTGATATACCCAAACCAGAAAGTGAAAGAGAAAGAGAAAGCTGCTGTTTCCTGGAATCTACCCTCAGTCCATGCTCCCTGCTGACTCACTCAAGGAGTGACCTCAGGCCTGCCATTCTAGGTTTTCCTTGGCTGAGCCCGTTTCAGCTGGGGTCTCTGTGATCTGCATGGCAAAGACCTGCCACCACAGACTAGGGGACCCTCCACAGATCCCCCTGTCACTCCTGGCTCTGTTCATTTCCCTCTTTCCCCACCTGCAGCCTCCACACTGCCCCCACCTCCTGGGTCCTGTTGATGCTGACCTTGGTGCTGCCCAGGATGGTGTGCACAGCATCTGGACATCTGCTTTCCTGGGTTCTTCTTCCAGGCTTCTTCTCTGAATCACTGAGTATCACATCCTCTCAGTGTAACAGGCTCCCAAACCTTAGGAGGCTTCCAGACCATAGCAGGACTGACTCCATGATGGAGGGACCACTGAGGCCATAACACCCAGCACCAAGTCAGCATCACCTGACAAAAGGAAAATGAAGTCTTCAACCATCAAAGTCCATGCTTCTCCTAGAATTTTCTAACTGTACTAACCTTGCTTTTTTAGCTTCTGGAGTTCTACTCCGGCTGTTTTTGTAACTGAAATATATCAACTCAGAATATGTTTTTTGTGCTTAAAAGCTCAATGCCACACTGGGATTCTGAACACTAGTGTAGTTGGTGGTGAAAGACCCGCAGAGCGTGGACCCTCATGCCCCAACTCAGGAAAAGCACCCCGCCAATCACTCATGAGAAGTGGTCTTGATGTAAAAGCATGAGGTCTTTTATATTCCAAGTGCACTGGGGCCCACAGTCATGCACCACGCAGGGGCAGAGGACTGAGGACCACGAGGGCAGAATTGAGACAGCTTTTATAGGGTTACAACAGAGCCCACACATCTTAAACCAATCATCTCATAGCATCCAGAGCCCGCGCGGTGCAGACCAATCAATTTAAACCATCCAAGCCTGCGCTTTATAGAACAATCAGTTTTCTATAGTCCCGTGTGCAGGCTCCTGGGTGGGGTGACAAAGCTCATTTCCTGTACTCACATACTCACAGGCCCTGTCATAAACAGCAAAGAATGTGACCTTTCACCTATTTACTGGCTGAGGGCAGGGTCTGAAATTTAAGGTTTAAACTTCTAGCTTCCTGGGGTCATTGGAGAGTCAGGCTGTATTTTTCCATCCTTACAGTGGCATGCTAACAAAAATCTTTCTATTGGCTTAAAACCATGTTGAGCAGTGTTCCTTCATGGATACCCCACAACATTTCTGGAGGTCCCACAGAGATCCCTAGAGACACCAGAGGTCTCAGATCCCCTTACAGTCTGAAAGAGTTCAAAGGTCAAGGAGCTCCAAGTGGATGGGGAAACCTGAGATGTTCAGGTCCCCCAGGACTCCCTTTGATAAATCCCTGCCTAATGCTTAGAGGTGGGGGTGTCTGACATCTCCTCCAGAAAAGGAAATATGTTAGAATGCCACCTTGTCATCTGTCACCTCTGGAAGTAAGTCTTGTTAAGATACCTTCTGTTTAGGACACACAGAGAGGTCAGACATGACCACTGATTGGTGTCCAGGGTCTGTGTGAGACATCGCCAGACTTCCCTGGGCTGCTCATTGTATGAATGTGTGGCGGTCACTCCTGGTTGTCTTTACTGTGTGTCTCTCTATGTGTTTCTGTCTATTCTATTTCCCTGTATTGACTTGACCAGTGGTTTTCTCTGGTGTGAGACACCCCCTCTCTCCACTCATGACCTGTGTCCTCTTACTGGGGACCTGAATTCTTTTGGTTCTGCCAGGTCACCCAGAGAAACACAAAAACCCTCTGTCTGTCCCACTCCTAGAGCACTTGCTTGTTTTGTTGGTTGAGTCCCACTCATGGCGCGAGTCAGTCCCTGTCCCTCTGTAGAGGTGGGGAGGGGCAGGGCCTCTTATGAAGGGGTTGGTGGGGAGCTGACATCTAAACAGAATGCACACTAAGAGGAGATACAGTTCCCAAGCCACGTGCTTCCTCTCCTCTCCTCTTCTAAGCAGTTCCCTGGGAACGGGGAAAAAGTCCCATGAGCAAAAGAGGAAGTTCTGCTCCTTCCTCTTTCATGATTCATGTGTCTTTTCCAACAAACAACCTGTGTAATTGCAAACGCAAAACCTACCATTCTCTGAAAAAGCAGAACTCCAGACCTTGAAGGGTGGGTGGGAACAAGTGCAGGGCAATTCTGCCTGGACAGAAGGGTTTTCCCTTCTGTATAACACTGAGCAGGGGGACTTTTAAATAATTATTGCTGTGTCCTTTATAGAAAAAGTAATGGCAGCTGCTGAAAGGATTTCTTCCCTCGTCGAGTCAGTACCAGATATTAGTTAATGTAATATTATATATTAGTTAATATAAATGTTAAAAAATGTAAAGATTATAAATTAGTCCCAGTTGCCGGAGTTAGTTCAAAGGCATTTAACAACAGAGAACTGATTGAGAGATGGGACCTTTCTCATAAACTTAAAGCCACCGTCACTTTCTCTGATGACAAGACACAATTAGAATTACAGATTCTGTCAGAAGAGTGGCCCCTAGCTGAAACTGCTGCCCAATCAAAGGACTATCTCTCAGATTTACAATCCCTGGAGATATTGGCAGAACCCAACCCCCTCCCCCAGGATTGGTTCAACACCTAGTTCCATAATTGTTCAACTAATCAGTTCAGCTACTCTCATAAGATTAAACAATACCCAATGACCCTGGGAACAAAAAGGGAAGTTGTGGTCCACAATGGCAGGCTTAGAGAGACAGGCATCCTGTTGCCCTGCCAGTCACCCTGGAGTACCTCTGGTTCTCATGAATCTGATTCTTTCACCCGAAGGATTCTCTTGCACCTGAAGGATGCATTCCTCAGCCTCCCATGGGAAAAGGTGAGTCAGCCCATCTTTGCTTTTACATGGACAGACCTAGAAGTTACAGCAGGCAACTTACCTGGACCAGGTTGCCCCAAACATTTGAAAATTCTCAACCCTGTTTGATGAGACACCAAATGCTGACCTCCCTCTCTTCCATCAGAGGTTTCCTGAGACCACACTTTTACAATGTATACTCTAACCACACCTCCTCTTAACCTCTAAAGCTAAAATAAATTATAAAAGAGCCACTGAGGGATTTCTGCAAGAGTGACAGACCTTGGGCTACAGAATGTCAGCTAAGAAAGCCTGACTGTGTACATCAGAGGATACCCAACTTGACTATCAGCTGAGAGGAGGCAAAAGGAGGCTGTCGCTGAGTAGGATTGCTGCCATCCTTCAGATGCTAGATCTATAGACTAAGAGGAAGGGTCAAGAGTTCCTAGGAGTAGATAGGTATTACCGCCTCTGGATAACAGTGTTTTCAGTAACAGCAAGGCCTCAGCACAAGGTGGGGAAGTCATTGACTCCCTAACCCCGACTGACACTAAACAAAAGGCTTTAAAAGCAGGTCTGAGTCAGCTCCAATCCTATCCCTTCCAGATGTCTCAAAACTTTTCATCTGTGCACAAAACAAAAGACATTACAAAGGGGGTTCTAACCCAAACTTTGGGGCCATGTAATACCCTGTGACTTGTCTTTCCAAACAACTGGACCCTGTAGCCACAGGATGGCCTGCCTGTCTAGAGCTGAGGTGGCAACCATTTATCTAATGAAAACAACAAACAAAACAAGTTAACTCTGTATCAGGATCTTATTCTCACAGCACCCCACACTGTTGAGGCTCATCTCTGACAAACACCAGAATGCCGGCTGTCTAGTGCTCATGTGACCCAGCATCAGGCCCTAACTCTGGATCTCCTTTGAATCCAGTTTGAGAAGTCCACTGCCTTCGATCCTGCTACCCTTTTGCCCTGTGCCAACAGGCAGATCCTAATCCATGACTGTCATAGATGAAAGATGAAACCAGGTACATGGGGCAGGAGTTGTCACTTTAACTGAAATGTTCTTAGCCCAAGCCGGGAGCCTCAGACCCAAGAGCAGAACTGATGGACCTGACCCAGGCTCAGATGGGAAAAAGGAAAAGTTCATCCCATAAACACAGACTGTTGCTATGCCTTTACTACCATGCTGCCCACAGTGTGATCTGTAGAGAAGAAAGGCCTCTCACCTGAGGGAAAAGGACATTAAAAACAGAGAACATTTTGGCTCTCCTAGAGGCTATTTGGCTCCCCCCACAAACATTTGTGGCCATGTTTTCTGGTTTCCAGTGACTGTTGATCATGTTTCTTCTGTCAAGTTCTCTTGCACTGAAATCTGTCCCCTTTTATCAGCATGATTCTAGCTAGACAGTCAGAGAACATCATAGTGAGCTGCAGGACCATGAAACGGTCCACATGAGCTGCAGAGTGGCAGGGATGTGAACATTCTGAGAGTACAGAATACACTAGAATGTTCACAGAATCTTCAACAGTTTCTGGGTTGAGAAGCAAGGTGGAGTGGAAGAGTGGAGTAGGGGTCTCTAACCTTAGGTCCGTCCTACCTGAACATCCTGAAGATCTGCTAGAGAATAGCTCAGTTGACCAGGGATATGTCAAGAAATGTCACTCAGGGTGGCTGTCACCCTGAGTTGAGGATGATCTAGGGGTAATTTTAGCCCAATGGAATATGACCCTAATGCAAAGGGAAACATTAATTAAAAGAACTCTAGGGGAAGTTGTATGGTCACCAGCATTGCCTAGAGGAGGGGTCAGCAGCCAAGATGTTTGGCCGCTATGGACACCCTATCGCAATCTATACACTGGAGAAGAGGCATGGCCCAGAACAGCACTCACCTCTCTGCTGGTCTCACCTTTTCTTGGGGCTGGGATCTTCCAAAGGAGTGTGTGGACTTTGTGGCTTCTTAAATCATCTACCTGGCCAGGACACACAAACCTCCCATGACTGCAAAGCACAAGCAGGAAAGTAGTACCCTGTGTTGAAAGCCCTGAGTAGCTTCCTG